CAGAGTCAATGTCACAACTCAGTGAGAAGTTTGTGACAGAGCTGTTTGTGAAGATCAAGTGCCAACAGAGGCTGTCACCTTGCTGTCGCCTTTGCCCAGCAGTGCCACTATGATACCAATTAAATCAATTAGATAAATGTATGTGTTGATTTAAAAAAAAAGACTTTATTGGGCGCCCACGGTTACCTGACGCTTGCCTCTGTGTGTGTCATCCCCCAACCTATGCCCATTTGAAAGAAAAGTCTGGAAGCTGAAGCCTGGAACACAACTCCTCTAAGAGGATAAAGAAAACAGCTGGTGACTACAGATGAAGCCAGGCCGTGCATTCCAGTGTCCAATCCGATCTTCCTCCAGTTGCTAAACTGTGGACATGGGCAACAGAGCAGGATTTTCCTGCCCAGAGGAAGGAGACACCACCACCCGAAGTACGTATCTGGGGACTGGATCCAGGACTTCCCCTTCCCCAGACTTGTCTCAGGTCTGGGATCCTGGGACCAGATGATTGTTTTTTGTTTTTCTCCTCCGGGGGAGGAAAATGTTCAGGCTCACAGAGAGAGGAGCCATACAGAATGAAATGGGGCTAAGCTGAGCTAAGATGCTCAGAGGGCATGGACCCCTGCTCCTACGTCACTCCCTATCCATTCACCCCAAGGTCTGAACCTGGACACTTGATCCAAGCTCCCTACCGAGCAGAATGTGGGAAACAGGGGCAGGGACTGTGGAGTGTAGAAGTAGGACTGACAAGGGCTTGGGAATTCAAAACAGCATGGTAGTATTCCCTCTGAAAGTTCAGGCAGGAACTGGGCTCAGAACAGGGCATTCATTGGTCCAGTCTCATAGCTAGTTGGGTTAGCTGTTGTGTGCCAAAACCTTTCACAAAATGGGGAGATGCAACACACACCTACTCACCCCAGTTAGGGAACCCAGGACAGATCCAAGTAGGGATATCACCAAAGTCCAGCTTGGTGAACCAATGAGTTTTATTGGGGTTACTTACAAGAATATGGGTGAGGGGTTGCTTACAGGAGAAGAAATGACTCACAGACAGCTGCATCACCAAAGCCCTCTGCTGCATGGGTGACAGCTCACAAAGCTGGGCCCCGGACACACTGCTCAGCCTGCAGACAGCTCAGTAAGGTTGCATGGAGAGTGTCCCTTCCAGACACCTCAGTTGCTCTAGTCTCTCCGGCAGCTCTTCTTGTTATGAGAGCTTTGCAGGGAGGCTCTGCTTACCCTGTCAGGGAGGGGCCTAGTGAGTCTGGTCAGTTTCAGGGAGTTTCTGAAGCTATTGGTTTTGGTTATTTAGCTCCCTACTTTAGGCGCTGCCCTGCAGGACGGAATGTTTTAACCTCAGAGGAGACTTGTTACACAACAGCTGTTCCTGGCTGTTGATGGGATAGGGCAGGGGCCACCTCATGTTCTCCTGCTCAGCTGGACGCCTTGTCAGCCACATGTTCAGCCGATGCTTCATTCTGCTCAGTCGTGAGCAGCCCCACCTCTGGGCCTTCGAGGGGCTCTGCATACACCAGGCATGACCACACTGCATGAGTCACATGTCAGGCCTGAGGCTTGTCACCCAGGAATGGAGAAGAAGCCTGGCCTCCTCCACCCACTGGGGACGCTGGGACTGGGCCTTGCTGCGCATCATTGCTCAAGTGGGTAGGGGTTGAACAAGTCTGTCAGCGGACAAACTGGGTTAAGGCCAGAGGATGTCAGATCCCGCCCCAGAGTGTGCTTTAGAACCCCCACTCCCTTGGCTGGCATCATATGCCAAGAGCTTCTTCCCCAATTGCCTATCTTCAGCCTTTCTACCCTGACCCTGGCAACCCACCAGGTCCGTCTCACTCAGCTTAAAACCACCAATCAACCTCGCCTTCACCCTGACTTTAAGGTTCTCTCTGGAGGAAGGTGCCTCTTCTCTGGACACTGGCCCCGCCCCACCCACACTGTGCCAGGAGTGAGGTATAGGGCATGTCTCATCACAAAGCCTTGGGCCAGGAGTCCCTGTTATTTTGACCATGCTGGGGACCTGACCACTCAGATGTTTGACCTGGGGCTGGAGTGATGGCTCAGCAGTTAAAAGAATTGTCTATTTGTCCGCTTGGGTTTGGTTCCCAGCAATCATATGGCAGCTAACAACTGTCTATAACTTCAGTTCCAGAGGATTTGAAACGTGCATATAGTTCCCAGACATGCATGCATATAAAATAAAAACTGAATAAATATCAAAACAAAATGATAACTAATAATTTGCAAGCCCAGGACTTTGGGGGAGGGGATTGTACAATGTCATCATGTTCAAGAAAGACAGTGGCACACTGGGCAGTAGTGGCAACCACTTTTAATGCCAGCACTTGGGAGCCAGAGGCAGTCAGGTCTTTGAGTCTGAGGCCAGCCTGGTCTACAGAGAGAGTTCCAGGACAGCCAGGGCTATACAGAGAAAACCTGTCCAGAAAACAAAAAAGAAAGAGAAAGAAATTAAAACAAGGAAGGAAAGATAAGGAAAGCTAGCTTGCAGAGGCAAGACCTAAGCAAACAGACAAAGCAGAGAGCCAGGACCAAGGAAGGAGGCAGAAGAAAGAAGCTACCCACCACAGCAGCTCCAGGTTACGATCTCTAGGCTTCTCTGTAGCCTGGCAGCCTTTCCTAGTCCACGATTCCAAATCACCCTTCCAATGACCACCGCTTTTCTGTTGAAGCTAATCTGGGAATCCTTTTGGTTTGATTAAAAGCCTTGGTAGACTAGAGTGTGCTTTACAACCTGTCCTAACCTAGGTTTGCAATGACCTATGCTGGCCAGACCCCTGCCCTATAACCCATGTGTGTGTGTGTGTGTGTGTGTGTGTGTGTGTGTGTGTGTGTGTGTGTGTGTGTGTGTAGTTGTCTACCCTCTTACTCTTATCTGGGACATTCTCTCTCTGTCTCTCCACCCTTCTAGGCCTAGACCCAAGCCTTCGTCCTGTTTGACGGTATCCTTCCATCCTCCTTGTAGAGTTCCTGGACAGTTTTAAGTTCAGTTTCCTGCCTCAGGGTCTCCACCCTGAAGCAGGATCAGTTGAAGACCTCTTTGTAAGGTCACCTCTCCCCTGGCCTTTGTCTGAAAGTCCCCTGCATCTGAAAGGAAAGGGGATGGTAATATGACCCCTGCAAAGCCTGTCATGACAGATCCTGGCATGGCATGAGTCCAGTTCTGCTAACTTCCTTCCCACATGTTGGGATCACCAATATAGGCTCCACCTGCTTGCAGGGCCAACCACAAAGAGGTGCTCCATGCATACCCACAGCAGGCCCTGGCTGCCCACCAGCAGTGCCCATCAAAGACACACACCTGGCTCAGAAAAGGGTCCTTTATTTCCTCATAATCAGAATCAGTCCACATCACCATCAGTTCCTCTGGGACCTGGGGAAGGGACAGGGCTTGTAAAGGCGGCTGTTACCCTAGAGCTTAGACCCTGTTGTGTTCTACAAGAAGGCCCAGAAAAAGAGGGGGGACATCAGGAAGAAATGCCATGGATTCCTGGGCAGAGGCAGCCATGGGCAGCAGGCCTAGAATGACAGCCAGGCTTCCACACCCCTGTGGCATCCTTCATGGCAGGTGGAGCCACAGCACCGGTTTGAGAAGTGCCAATCAAAGGCTAACCAGGTCAGCAGAGCACAAAGGGCTGTTCCTAGTGACTACTTGAGGACTCATGACCCAGACCCTGAAGAGCCTGGTTCTTCAGGTAGATCAGGAGATGGAGGGGCATGGGTCTGGGTAGAGACTTCCTTCAGTGAGTAGGCTGCAGATCCAGACCCATGGGAAGAAGAGTCCACAAAAGACCATGACATCTGTGTCTTGCCCTGTGGGCCTTTCAGGCCACACGATGGCCCTGGATGTCACTTCTGAGAATCCTGTTAGTCTTGGCATTTCTTGATCTGCCTGGCACCTTAGTTCTTAGAGCTGCTGGGTGACCAGTGGGTGATGTGGGGGCATAGTAGACCCATGGCCAGCGCCGTGACCACGGGCATGGGATTTGCCTTCTCAAGATCTCTGTGGATAACCTCTCAGCTTTGGAGGTGCCACCCCTGTTTGAGCTCTGCTCTCTGAAGGGAGGGTTGTAGATATGTCAGGGAATTTCCCATAATGGGATTCATGCAGGATGCAAGCTCATGGCTGCCTCTTGACAGCTCTGTACTGTCATATGTATGCATGCACAGATGGTTCTGCACACACAAGTGCAACACACACACACACACACACACACACACACGAATGAATGCAGCATCTTACTGACACTGGGGACGCATGTGCTGATGCATATCCAGGGAGCACACACGTAGGTCTGCACACAGTGCCACCTGTGGAGTTATGAACACGGATTCACTCCTGCTGCTCACACGGAAGAGGGTCTGGACACACCAGTTAGCGAGTGTGGCCGTTCACATGAACTCACAGCAGGCAGACCTGGGACACCTATGGGGAGCGGGCAGGAGACAGCAAGGTGGGGAGGGCATGCCAGGGGCTAGCTGGCACACTGCTCTGGCAGGCTGCTCAGAATGGTCTCCAAGTTGTGCTTGTCAGCGCGGATCTCAGCAAGGTCGTTCTCAAAGCTCTGGATCTGCAGCTCCTGCCGTGCAGACTCTTGCTCCAACTGCCTCAGCTTGCGATGCAGGGTTCCATGTGAACCCAGTTGCAGCCTCAGGCTTTCTAGTGCCCTTTGGGTCTCGTTCAGGATCTGAGAAGGAGCCTGGTGGGTATCCAGGGACCCTGTGGGGGAGCACAGGCAGAGTCAGCAGAGGCCAGCTCCCTACAGGTCAGACACCCAGAACCTGGTCAGGCCACCACCTACTGGGGAAAAGGGGCTAAGAAGGGATGCAGAAGGGGTTAAAGGCCTGGGTGTCCAACCCATGGAGCTCACACGCAGAGTTGAGAGTAGGTGTTACTCTTGCAGAGGACCCAGGTTCAGTTCCCAGCACCCACATGGCAGCTCATAGCCATCTGTAATCCCAGTGCCAGGGGATATCACACTCTCTTCTGGCCTCAGTGGGCACTCATGTACATGGCGCATTTATACACAGGCAAAACACTCATATGTAATATAAAAAATCTTTGAACAAGGTCTCAGTGATTTTTTTGTTGTTCTTTTTAATCATGGCTGTCCTGTAACTTGCTACGTAGAGCAGGCTGACTTGGAATCACTAGAGATCTTCCTGCCTCTGCCTCCTGAGCGCTGAGATTAAAGAAGTGTACCACCACGTCTGGTTGGGCTTTTAGTTAATATTTATTTATTTATTTATTTTAGGTTTTTTTCAAGACATGGTTTCTCTGTGTAGCCCTGGCTGTCCTGGAACTCACTCTATAGACCAAGCTAGCCTCCCACTCACAGAGATTCACCTGCCTCTATCTCCCGAGTGCTAGGAGTAAAGCCATACATCACTATACATGGTGGTTTCTTTTTAATTCTTAATAATCTAGTTATATTTTATTTGCTGTTGTTCCCTCCCTCCATAACGGGGCCAGGACTGGAACTCAGGTCATCAGGCTCGGCAGCAGGCATCTTTATCCACTAAGCCATTTCCTAGCCCATTAAAATTTTTTTAAGGCGTACGAAACCTGTTTCCTCATTTACAAAACTGTGGGAGAGAAGTCCCAGGATCTATGCTGGCTCTAATGTCAGCACACATCTGGGTATCCAGATTGAGACGGGCCAGGGCCGCATGCGGCAGGAAGGGCAGCAGGATCCAGGGCCACACATGAATTCCTCCCACTTAGTAGGAATGAGCCTCTCTAAGAGACGAGGAGTGGGGCTAGGTGCTCACACAGGAATGCAGTGTGGTGATGGTAGCATGGAGTCCAAGGTCCCCTTGTCACCTTGTCATCAAGTGTGATGTTCAACAGAAAAATGGGCTCAACTGGGTGGGAGGGTGACAGGGCAGAAATCAGTCCCAAGTGATTTCTTTTTGTTTGCTCCTTTGTTATTGGTTTCTTTTTTTTTTTTTTTTTTGTAGTTTTTCAAGATAGGGTTTCTCTGCGGCTTTGGAGGCTGTCCTGGAACTAGCTATTGTAGACCAGGCTGGCCTCGAACTCACCTGCCTCTGCCTCCCGAGTGCTGGGATTAAAGGCATGCACCACCAATGCCAGGCGTTACTGGTTTCTTTGAGGCAGGGTTTCTCTGTGTAGCCCTGCCTGTCCTGGAACATCCTCTGCAGACCAGGTTGATCTCGAACTTACAGAGATCCTCCTGCCTCTGACCCCTGAATGCTAAAGGCGTACATCACCACTGTCTGGCCTCGAGTGGTTTCCAATCCTTCCAGGTTCTTCTGAACTTCCCAAGCAAAGAATGCTGGGTCTGAGGGCACAAAGGGGCAAAGGAGGGCTGCTTTACAGATACAAAGTGCCTCTTAAAATGCTCATGGGTTGAAAGCTTGGTCCCCAGCTGAAGGATCCCACCATCAGGAGGAGATTGGATCATGGAAACCCTTACATCATCAGTGGATTTATCCATTGATGGAACCCTGGCTTCCTGAGGTGGCAGCCTTTAGGGACTGCATCATTTAAATTTTTATGTTTATTCATTGTGTGTGTGTGTGTGTGTGTGTGTGTGTGTGTGTGTGTGTGTGTGTGTGATGGCACTTGCATATGGGAGAGACAAGACAAGAGGATCTCTGAAACTGGAACCTCATATGATGTGTGCTGACATTAGAGCCAGCATAGCCAACTAGCCTAGCCAAATCGATGAGCTCCAGGTTCAGGGAGACCCTATCTCAAAATATGAGGTAGAGGGTCATTCACAGAGACTAATGACCTGAGTTCAGTCCCACATTGTGGAAGGGACGAGCTGACCTCCATCTACTTGCTGTGACAAGCACACGTGCAAACACAAAATAAATGAGCAAAGGAAATAAATGTAGGCTAGGCACAGCAGTCCATGCTTTTAATCCAGTGCCTGAGAACCAGAGGCAGGCTGATCTCTGTGCGCTGGAGGCCACTCTGGTCTGCACAGTGACACATGCCTTTAGTGCCAGTACTGGGGAGCAGAGAGAGATGGATCAAGGCCACAGAAAGGAGGCAGGCACAGGGAAGGGTGATGGGGAGTCAGTGTCTAATGGGCCACTTCTCTTTGGACAATCAAGAAAGTCCTGGAGATAGATGGTGATGATGGGGACACAACAATGTGATTGCTTAATGACAGAGGCCCAGGCTCTGGGGACTGGGTCTCCATTCTGTGGCATGAGGAGGTGGTGGTGGACCCCTTCGCAGGTGGGGACTGGTGGAACGAAGCTAGGTCACCAGGAATGTGCCCTGGGGGATATTAGCACTTCTGCTCCTTCCTGACCATGGTGACCAGGCCTCTGCCACTGTGTGCTACTGCCAGGAAGCACCGAGCTGCCAAAGCCTCAAAGTCAATGGACTCAAACCCAAAGCCAAAGCAAACCTTTATCTCCTCCTCTCCCTGCATCCTCTCTTGCAGTGCCACGGATGGACCCCAGGACTTAGTGCCTGCTACATGGGCATTCTAACACTGAGCCGCATTCCTGACTCATGTCTTTGCGGCTCTTAAGTTAATTGCCTCCGGAAGTTCATCACAGCAGCAGGGGGCTGACCGACACAGTTGTCAAACACGTACTTAGCCGGGCAGTGGTGGCTCACGCCTTTGATCCCAGCACTCAGGAGGCAGAGGCAGGCGGATCTCTGTGAGTTCAAGGCCAGCCTGGTCTACAGAGCAAGTTTCAGGACAGCCAGGGCTGTTACATAAACAAACAAAAGAAGAAAGAAAGAAAAAGGCAAAAACACAACAAGAAAGTATACTGCTAAAATGTACATATTTAATGTCAAAAAGTACATTTTATGTCGTGTATATCCAAGCATAGTTTTTAAAAATAAATGCTGGCTGGGTGTTGGTGGCACACGCCTTTAATCCCAGCACTCAGGAAGCAGAGGCAGGTGAATCTCTGTGAGTTCAGGCCAGCCTGGTCTAAGAGCTAGTTCCAGGACAGCCTCCAAAACAATACAGAGAAACCCTGTCTTGAAAAACAAACAAACAAAAAAAATGCTGTTAATTTCAGCCCAACCTCTCTGACCACTGTCCTGGCCATCCAAGCCAGTGGCTACCACCAGCTCTTCATCCATAGGGAACAATGTAAGTCCTTTTTACTAAAGCCTGTCCAGAGCTTTCCTTTCCTTCTCTTATTTTATTTTTAAGTGTGTCTGTCTATGTGACTGTATGGGGTTGCCCACAGAGGACAGAGAGGATGTTGGACCCCCAGAGCTGGAGTTACAGGATGTTGTGAACTGCTGACATGGGTTCTGGGACTGAACTCGGATCCTCTAGACGAGCAGGTCGCTGTGTTTTAACAGCTGAGCCTGCTCTTCTCCCCACAATCTTTCTTCTTTGAGGCATCACTATGTACCCAGCACTGACCTAGAACCTGATCCTGTCCTTCTGCCTCAGCCTCCCAAGGCCTAGGCTGATGACGTGCGCTGTCCCACCCGGCTTCCTGTGGACTTTTGCCTCCTTCCTGTGAACCAGTGTCTGCTGACTGCTCTAAGTCACCCGCTTTCAGTCTTGTTTCATGGGTGGGCAAGCCAGCTCAGAGGTTGGGTAGCATGTCCAAAGCTCCACCACCCAGGAAGGGACAGAGGAATCAAGCCCTATTCACCAATGTGCCCCCTCGCTTTTCTGTCATTCTGTCTATTCCCTAACGGCTAGCTCGGCCATCAGGGACCCAAGGGTGTCCGTAACATAGTGAGTTTTCTGTTTTCCCCACCCCGCCGCACACTCACCAGACTAGAGGAAGCAGACCCTGTCCCTTGTGCCCCTGGAGACACAGTGAAGTCAATCCCAGTCACCCACCCTGCCCTACAGGGGGCCTTCGTGGCTACTAACCCTGTGAGGGGGACAGGCTGAAGGGAGCTGTGGGTTTCAGGACAGGGAGCAAGCGTCCTATGACTGCCCCCAGGGACCTGCCTTGGGATCTCCTTACCCAGCTTGGTGAGCAGCTCTGACAGGACCTTGATGTCCTTCACCAAAGACCCTCGAGAGTCTTGAATCTGGCGCTCCATCATGCTCAGCCCAGAGGCCACCTTGACCAGAAAGAACATCTTAGTGGCTCCCTGGAGTGGCTGGGAGTTCTGGCTAGTTTTATGTCGACTTAAAACAAGCTAAAGTCATCTGAGGGGAGGGAGCCTTAACGGAGAATATGCTTCCATAAGGCTGGGCCATAGGCAAGACTGTAGGGCATTTGGGGTGGGGGGTGAGACAGGGTTTCTCTGTATTGTTTTGGGCATTTTCTTAGTTAGCGATTGATGTGAGGGACCCAGGCATGGTGAGTGGTGACACCCCTGTTTGCTATGAGAAAGCAGACTGAGGAAATCGCGAGGAGCAGGCCAGGAAGCAGCCCTCCTCCACGGTCTCTGCATCGGCTCCTGCTTCTGAGTTCCCACCTGTTTGGGTTCCTACCCTGACTTCTGTCAGTGATGGACTGTTATCTGGAAATACATGTGGAATAAATCCTTTCCTTCCCAGGTTGCTCTTGGTCATGGAATTTCGTCACAGCAATGGGAACCCTGAGTGAGACCCTGGGCATAGGGGATGGCGTGGGGGCTGGGCACACCCACCTGCTTAGCCTCCTCCAGGTCCTGTTTGCGAGCTTCTGAGGTTAATAGTAGCCGAGAAACCTGGCGGAGTGTGGCCTGGGTCTGGCTGGCGAGTCCCCTGGCACGACGGTGGCTCTGCTTCCCCTCCCTCAGCAAAGCTCTGGCCAACTGCAGGACAGCAGCAGGGGAGGAAAGAATAAGCCCCTTGGGGAAGAAGAGCTTTGTCCTCCGGTTTTCCTCTTCAGGACGGAAGTTGGGACCCAGAGGCTCACATGTCAGGTAAGCACTCTACGATTGACCCACCTGTCATGGCCAGTTCTTATATTTTGAAATAGGGGTTTACTAAGCTACCCAGGAGAGCCTTGGATTTGTGATCCTCTTGCTTCAGCCTTCAAAGTAGCTGGGATATAGGCTTATGCCACCAGTTCCTATGACATGCGGCCAAGCAGTCAACTTCATAACCTAGGACATCCACTCACACAACCTAGAACATCCACTCACACAACCTAGAACATCCACTCACACAACCTAGAACACCCACTCACACAACCTAGAACACCCACTCACACAACCTAGAACATTCACTCATTCATTCATTCCCACAATCAGTAGGCATGTACTAGAGACAGGGTGTTTTTAGTTCAAGTTTCTGCAAATTGCTCATTTCTCCTTAGTGGGGAAATTCCACCTATTTTTATATATGGGGAAACAGAGTTGGGGGGGGAGAAGTAGCTGCCCAAAGTCTGAGCAATGGAACAAGAAGCTGCATCTGAAATTCCTAGTTTCAGGCCAGTCCTTCAGAAATTTAGGCACCCACGAGGAGCGGTCTCTTAGGTATAAGCATTTGATCTGAGGAACACAGAGACAGACAGACAGACAGACAGACACACACACACACAGAGAGAGAGAGAGAGAGAGAGAGAGAGAGAGAGAGAGAGAGAGAGAGAGAGCACAGTTAGAATTTGGCCCCCGATAAAGAAAGCCAGAGGGACAGGAAATGTGACTCAGTTAGACGTGTTTGCCTCAGTGCATGAGTTTGACCTTTAGTAGCGGATAGACTGGGGTGGCGGAAGTGGAGGCAGAAGAATTAGAAATCCAAGGTCACCCTCAGCTAGACGGTGATTTCAAGGCTAGCAGTGGACCTGGGTTCAGTTCCCAGCACCTACACAGTGGCTCACAGTCAGGGGATCCTTCTCACTTCTGCCCATACCAGGCATGCACATAGTACACATACATATATGCAGGTAAAACATTGTACACATAAAACAACTTAAAATTATATAAAAAGGTAAATAAGATGAAATAAAAAAAATCCAGCAACAACAAAGAAAAACCTAGAAGTTTAGACAACATCCCACTGGGCCCAGGTGTGAGTCCTGGTCATACGACTTAACCCTTGAACTGGGCTCGGCCTAGAGTCTTCACATGCTCACAGGCCCCCCAGGGACTCCTTTTCCTTGAGGAGTCAGTGAGGTCACCCACACGAGTGCCCGAGCTGAGAGCCAGGACCCACAGCAGTCAGCATGGAGGGCGAGAAAGCGGCTGTCAATGGGGCTGTTGGCCCGAGCCTGACCTTGACGTTGTCCTTGGACATCAGTTCTGCTTCTTTGCTTTTCTTCTTGGCGCTGGAGGAGAGAGCTGCAGCATTTCCCAGCATCCTCTCTGCCTGCCTGGTCTTCCTCTTCGAGTCCTCCAGGAACCTGGCCCTGATGCTGCCTGTTCTCCTTCTCAGCACTGCCTGCTCCTTGGGCAGGGGAAACCTCTGCTTCATTCCTGCAAAGCAGCCAAGGCTGAGGCAGGGGGAACACACACTGGGGAGCCTGCCAGGTGGTGACTGGGCTTGACCAGCCCCGGGATTTTGGACAATGGAGGCAGAGGTTGGAGACACAGGAGATCTGTGTGTCCCCTTCTCAAGGCAACCCCAGGGAATAACAAGAGGAAGGAGACACTGCCCTCAGCAAATGCGAAGACACATCTGCTCTGATGCTGTCTCTATTGTGATCTCTGTGAAGGTCCTATCACACGGTGGTCACAGTCTCTGGACTGCACTGGGAAAGGACGGAAAGGGCCTGGGCTTGAGGTTCCAAGTTAATCTCTTGGGTTGTGGAGCAGAGTCAGGGACAAATTTCCACCCAGCACATGCAAAGCCTTGTACAAGGAGAAGGTGACACCTGGGAGGCCATGTGCATCTCGGTGAAGAGAAGGAATCTGAGGGCACTGAGTCATGAGACAGGCAGGGGAGGCTTACAGCCCGCCCTCCACAGTTCTGATGCCCCCTAAAATAGCACAGGACATTCCGGAACACACTCTCCTAAATGCGTTGTATAAGCGTGCACACAGCCACACCCTTTTCATAGAAGGCCCCAAAGAATGAGCAACCAGGACTCCAGGCCCCAAGGAGACTAGAAAACATGCCCCGCCCCAACACCACTGAGCCAGTATCTCCAGTCTGCCACAGGGACAAGGATGGAGAGAAGATGCTAGGTGGAGTGCACAAAGAACCACAAAGGCTTCTCTCTGGCTCCAAGAGGGCGGACCTTGAGGCAGAGAGACAGGTGCTCAGCTCCCACTCAAGGGTGGGTGAATGATGGAGTTTCTCAGTCTGCTCACCTGTGAAACAAGCCTCTTGGATTCCCCCTTCCCGCCCTTCCCGCCCTCCCTCCCCCTCCCTCCCCCTCCTTTCCTTCCTCCCTTCCTCCTCCCTTCCTTCCCTCCTTCCTTCTTTCTTTCTTGACACAGGGTTTCTCTGTGTAGCCCTGGCTGTTCTAGAACTTGCTCTATAGACCAGGCTGGCCTTGAACTTGGAGATCTACCCGTCTCTGCCTCCCGAGTGCTGGGATTAAAGGCCTAAGACACGACACTCAGCATAACTTCAGTTTTCTTAAAGTTTCAGAAGTTTGAGCAGTCATCAAAGCTGGCCCACTCTAAACAGAACCTTTATAACACATAGCTCAAGCTGCCTTAGAAGTTACTATGGTAGCCCAGGCTGGCCTCAGACTAGAGAGGTCCTCTCTCACCTCAGCTTGTCTACTGCTAGGAATACATGTGTGATCCACCATCCAGCCATTTGGGGCTTTTGTTTTTTGTTTTTGTTTTGTTTTTTATTATTTTAGTTTTGAGCAGGGTCTCGTGTATCTCAGGGTAGTCTCAAACTCACTATGTAGCCAAGGATGAATTTGAGCTTCTGATCCTCCCTCGTGTGGAGATCACGGGTGTGCACCCCGTGCCTGGTTTACTTGGTGCTGGGGGGTCTAACACAGGACCTTATGCACCCCCAGCAAGCATCCTACCAGCTGACTCGCACTCTCAGCCCTGGTTTGCTTTCCACCTGTGCTGAAGATGGGACCTGGAGCCCTGCACACTTTAGACAGCTCGCTCCCCTGAGCCACACCCCTGCCTGTGACAACAGATTATTTTCTGAGTTCCTGAGGATCTCTGTGCTTGGGCTGACAATGCTGGGAGCTAACCCGTGTGGTCACAGGGGCCAGTACCCAGTGAGTGGCATGTGAGGCGGGAAGTCTTGGGATTCAGCAGAAGGACTGGTCTACCTGGCGCCGTTCCCTATAGCCAGGCATCCCTGGCCGAGGCAAATTGGCTGGCAGAGCCTTGTACAGAGCCTCGGGCTCAGCAGGACACACACGTACCCTCGAGGTCAGCGAGCAGAGTCTTGGCTCCTACGACGGTCAGCGTGGCAGCTTGGACAGCTGACAAAGCTTGTGTCAGGGAAGCTTCGGTCTTGTTGCGTAGCTGTGAGGAGAAGAAAGGCAGGGGCTGCCTGGAGGCAGGTCAACCAGCCCCAGATGGACAGGCTAGGCCCCAAACCTCAGAGTGACCCCAACTGGAAATTATCCTGATCTGCTTATATGGATGCCAAGCCCCAGATCAATCTCAAGAAAAACCTCATCTTCAGAAGCCTGGAGGACGACCAGAAAACCAGAGCCAAAGACAACCACACACTTCAATCCCTAATGTGACGTCAGCTTCTCCTAACAGAATAGCCATCGTTCCCCACGGCCACCAGAGGTGACTACACAGTAAAGAACTCAGGCTTGGTTGGGCAAGAGAAGACACAAAGAATGTAAGAGTCACAGGAAGCTGTCTTCATGGCATGGCATGAACCTTGAATTCTTGTACTCAGGGCAGCTGTGGCTACCTGCATAAGATCTGCATGTTTTAGGGCAGCTGCACAAGGTCCAGCTCTTCCCTATGGATTTATACCTAGCTAATGGAGGAAGGAGACATTTTCTTCAGTAGCGTAGATACTGCTGTGGTACCCGCATGTGTGGTAATTTGAATGAGAATGTCCCCCATGGGCTTATATATCTGAATGCCTGGTCCCCAGCTGGTGGAATGGTTTCAGAAGGATTAGGAGGTGTGGCCTTATTGGAGGAGGTGTATTACTGGTGTGAACTTTGAGGTTTCAAAAAGCCCATGATAGGCCCACTCTTGCCCTCTCTGCTTCCAGCCTGCGGGTCAGGATGTAATCTCTCAGCTACTTCTCTAACACGGTGCCTGCCTGCCAGCAATCTCCCTGCCGTGGTGGTAATGAACTCACCCTCAAAACTGTAAGCCAGCCCCAACGAAATGCTTTCCTTTATAAGTTGCTTGCCCTGATCGTGTGCCTCTTCATAGTAATAGAGCAGTGACCAAGACAGAAGTCATGCTCTGTGAATAAGTTCTTACCCATGCGACTGTAAGCAACCCCAGTGAAACGCACTGCTTACAAAAAAGACACAAAAGTAGGTTGTAAGCTAACTAGGTAAGGCAGGAGCGGGTAACATGGGAAATATGATTGAAATAATCATGTCACATGCAGGAAGTTGCCATAGTGAAACACCTACTACGTGTAAAAGTTTTCTTGAGGAAAGAATTTGGGCTGGCTAGATGTCTCAGCGGGTAAAGGCATTTGTCTCCAAGCCTGGAGATCTGGATTCAGTCCCTGGGTAGAAGGGAAAGAACAGGCTTCCACGGTTGTCCTCTGAATCCCGTACTCACGTTGCAGTAAACGTGTGCCCCCACCCGTGCACAGACACAAAAAGTAAATAGCGTATAATCAAAATTAAAAGGGAACTTGGTTCCTGCGTATGTCCGGGTTAAAGAGCACAGGGCCTGTAACATGGCTCAGTGGGTTAGAGGTGTTTGCTGCCAGGGCTGGCAAACCAGAGTTCGATCCTCGGGACCCACATGTCAGAAAAAAAGGGAAGAACTCAGAAAGTTGTCCTCTGACAGCCACGGGCGCTCCATGGCGTGGGCTCCATGGTGTGCGCTTTCACACACGCAGAGACTGAGCGGAAGTGTGTTCAGGGCCTCAGGAGAAGCAGAGACGCTGCCTAAGGCTGCCGGCTCCCGGGGTTACTTCAGGAGCAATGAAATGTTCCAGATCCAGAGAGGAGGGGTTGAACAGCAAGGTGAATGTGCTCCATGTCACTGGAACCTGGCAAATTGTCCCTTGAGGTGGGAGTATGCTTTCATTTCCATACTCTAAAGTGTGTTTGTGCAGCTCAAGTGTAAGGCTTTGTGTGGGAGGAGGGGCATAAGCCTGGGTGGCCGGACACTTAGAGCAAGCTTTATGCTCCATTGTGTTTCCTTGGCATATATAAATATTTATTTAACTTGCTGCTGTTGGAAGTTCCAAAGTGGATACTCAGTAATAAAATGCTTGAGGCTGAAAAAAAAATGGTTTCTCATATGATTTGCTACAAATAAACAGCACAGACTTGAAGGACCAGGGAAGCCTGGTTTTGCTCCTGAGGCTGGGGAGCAAGGGCGGAGGAGGCCGGGCTCTGAGGGTTGTGGAGAGCAGAGCATCTGCAGGTGGGGGTCCTGGCCTTCACAGGACTCTGCTCCCAGGAGGGCTGTGGAGGCTGTCTCCTTTCCTGGCTTCCTCACCCTAGATGCGAGTGTGGATCAGGTCTGAGGACACTACGCAGGGTGCTCAACGCAGCAAGGCTCGCCTAGGTACATGCCAGGCCCTCCGATCCTTGGGTACATCCTTTCTCCTCAAAGATATTTCCTTGTCTCCTGGGTTTGTGTGGAAGCCGAGGGGCCTCTGGGGAAGCCATTACCACCACTGTAGGAGTTGGGAGTCAGGTCAGTGGGCTGGGTCCCTGGGTGGTGGTGTCATGTTGTTCTCCTGAGTTTGGTACCTTCCCTGTGGCTGGCTAAAACACCAACATGAAATGACCCTGTGGGAAGGTTGTGAAAGCTTTGGGTGCTGTCCATAGAACCTCCCCATAAACCTGCAATTAGCCCCCAAGAAAAATGCACAGTTATTTCTAAATGAGTCTTCTATATGTTAGCAGGCTGGTCCTAGTGAAACGGTCATTCTAGGACTTCCTGATTTAGTGCTATCTCCCTGGACTGAGCACCAGGCTCTGTGACTTAACACTGAGTTCCATGGGCTGCTCAGAGTGGGTGCCTCTGAGCATGGGGTATCTGAGGGCAGAAGGGAGGGAGAGACACAAGAGCCATTCAGTTGTGACTGACCCCAAGAGAGGGTGCATGGATACGGCTTCTATCATCCACCTGCCTGCCTGCCTGTCTGTCCGTCCTCTCTCCCTGAACCCCTATACTCTTTTCTAAGCAAGCAGGCTTCCCTTCCTTTGGCCTGGCGCCTTTAAAGCTCTCAGGCATTTTGAGGGAGGCATGAGAGACTTGCAAGTGTTTTGTAAGTATTATTTTCCATCTTTGCACCCCAACATATCCCGGGTTTCCTTGGGGGAAGCCCCTCCCTCTTCCAGGTCTCAGATCGAAACTGACCTGCGTGAAGGGCTCCATCTTCTTCAGGGCTGCCCCAGCCTCCACCTGCAGGGCTCCTACAGCCTGGACTGCCTGGCGCTCCTTCCGAGCCAGCCTCTGCTCCAGGGCCTTCACTTTCCTGTCCAGATTTCTGGCTTGGGAGTTCTGAGGCTGCAAGGAGATTGTGGGCTCAGGTAGGGCTGAGAACCAGATCCTCTGTCCAGGGAAAAGTGCTGAGGACCAGCCTGTGCCCTGCTGTGCTGAGGGCCAGTCTGTGCTCTACTTTGCTGAGGGCCAGCTTGTGCCCTGCTGTGCTGAGGGCCAGTCTGTGCCCTGCTGTGCTGAGGACCAGCCTGTGCCCTGCTGCACCGAGGGTCAGCCTGTTGCTACTAACCCAGAACTGGAACTTTAGCCCTGGTCCCGGGGTGCTTTCTGCTGTCCCAGGAACTTCAGATACTTCAGGGGCAGGGCAGTGGCAGAAGAAGGAGGGGTTGCAGAGACACCAGGCTGGGGGAACCTGTCACTGGAGGCTCAGACCGCATCCCCACCAACTTCTAGCTCTGCAGCTCTGGTCAACTCCAGCTAATTGTTCCGACCCACAGGTATGACTGTCTTTCTTCCTTGCAAGGTGAGGTTCTACCTCCCCAGATCCACAGTCCTTCCTCCACCTGAACCTTGACCAATGTGCTTCAGATGTTAGAAAGGTATGATCCGGAGCCCTCGTCCGTATCTGAGGAGAGCAGGAGAAGCTACGAGGCAGTAGCCGCAGGCAGCCTGCGTCCCAAATGCATGTGGATAGCTTTCTGATTTCAGTTTTCTTGATGTGGGGGGTGGAACCCAGGGCCTTGAGCATGGCTGACACATGCTCTCTCTGTGAGCTGCACGAAGAGCCAGCTTAGCGCCCCGGTGAAGCTGGGTCTCTGAGGCTGGAGCTCTCAGGGTTGCCCAATAGACAAGACGGGAAAGGATGTGAGACCTGACGAGGGTTGAATGAAGGACTCCCTAGATCCCCTCCAGCTCCCACCTATAAAATTAAGCTAGAGGAGGCTGATTCTGCAGGACAGAGGGTCACAGGTGGCTGAAACTCAGGGAGGGAAGCCCTTGGTCAAGGTCACTGTTGGCGTAGGGACCGGGACGTGAATCACCCCCATCCCTCTGATGTCCTTGCTCATGTCGCGGTTCCTGCCTTGTAGTGGAAGATTGGATGAGCACTGCCTGTTTCAGTAGGCCACTTCCCAGTTAACAAGAAGCCCTGCCCGCCTCTGCCTGGCTCTCTGACTTCTCCATAATCTAGAACCTTCATTGCCACCCCACGAGGAGCTCCAGGGATGCCGTACTGACCATTGCTCCAGGGGTGCCCAGCGACAACAGACGTGGGGCAGCATCACCAATGACTTGCTTTACAGTGGTCAGCGCCCTCTCAGCTTTGGGCAGCACCTCTGCCACAGCTGTGCCCAGGGTAGTCTGCGCTGCCTGCACCTCCTGGTACCTGGGAGGAGAGAGATCAGGATGGGCCACAGAACAGGTGTTGGACACCCCTCTCCATCTCTGTCAAAGCTGCTAGCTGGAGATGTTAACCTGCAAAACCCTCTCCCAACTCCTGGCAGGTGCAGGTCAGGACCTAGCAGCCGGCCTGAGAAAATGGCTGTATCTTCAGCTTTCAGGCTCTGTGTGTGTGTGTGTGTGTGTGTGTGTGTGTGTGTGTGTGTGTGTGTGTGTGTGTGTTTGCTTGCCTGTGATGTCCAGGGAAGCAAGAAGCATTAGATCCCCTGGAGCTAGAGTTGCAGGCAGTTGTGATCCACCTGATGTGGGTGCTGGGAACTGAACTCGGGTTCTCTACAAGAGCACTAAGTTGACAGCTGAGCCGTCTCTCCAATCTCTGAAGCTTTCAAATGAGCAGAGTCATTATCTCCTTATTCAGTTTGGGCTCGCCACTCAGTCCAGGCCCCAGGCTACTGTGCACCTGAGAGTCACACATTGTGTAGACCCCTGTGTCCTCTTGGAAAGCTGCAGAGGAAGCTCCCTGGGATGGCAGGACAGCTGCCTGGGCTGTGATGTTGACTGGCCATGTCCTTGCTGCTGACCTGTGGCGTATGATCCTGTCTGCATGTGAAATAACCCCGTGAGCTCATGTGTTTGAACACTTAATCCCCAGGTAGTGGCATTGGGAACTTTGTGGAACCTCTATTAGAACCTTGCTTGAGGAAGTGTGTCACTCAAGGGAGGGCCTTGGGGCTTTACAGCCTGACTCGCTTCCTGTTCACTCTCTGCTTCTTGGCTGTAGATGCAACGTGACCCACTTCCTGTTCCTGCCCCCACGCCCCTCATGAAGCCATGTTGTGAGTGGCCCAACAGAGATGAAGATATTCTGAGCCTGTCATGTCCCTCACTTAATTATCAGATTACTGAAACTGTGGACCCCAGGAATAAGAATTCCCTCAGGAGTCCAGTGCTTGGATCGGGGAGCGCCTACCGCCCAGACCAGCCAGAGGGGAAAGCCAAAACCTGAGAGCCATGCAGAGGGGAGAGCCTACTGTCCAAACCATGCAGAGAGGAGAGCCTACTGTCCAAACCATGCAGAGAGGAGAGCCTACTGTCCAAACCATGCAGAGAGGAGAGCCTACTGTCCAAACCATGCAGAGAGGAGAGCCTACTGTCCAAACCATGCAGAGGGGAGAGCCTACTGTCCAAACCATGCAGAGAGGAGAGCCTACTCTCCAAACCATGCAGAGAGGAGAGCCTACTGTCCAAACCATGCAGAGAGGAGAGCCTACTGTCCAAACCATGCAGAGAGGAGAGCCTACTGTCCAAACCATGCAGAGGGGAGAGCCTACTGTCCAAACCATGCAGAGGGGAGAGCCTACTGTCCAAACCATGCAGAGAGGAGAGCCTATAGCCCGAGCCAGCCAGAGGGGGATCTTTTCCCCCAAAAGATCAAAGGACAAGGAAAAAGAGCTACAACAATGATGGGTCTCTGCTTAAACATTAACCTCTCATGAGGACCCAAAGATGGACTGGCAGGGGCAGTGAGGAGTTCCCCACTGGATAGCTTTGTCCCTCTTTCCAGTGTAGCCACATTGATAAATCTCTTTTCTTTTCTGTTTTTCATTATCAATGAAGCCTTTTAATTGGGTTAGCAAGGATAGGAGACTGAACCTGGCTTGTTGGGGCCACAGGCTGCAACCCCAAGTCCCAGAACAATGTCTCCATCACCATAGCAGAAGAACTCTCTCAAACTGTGAGAAGAATGAGCCTGTCCTTTAAATCATACTGGGTGGTTTGTCACAGCAAGGAGAAGGATAATACTGTGTGTTGCTCTGCACTGACAAATGGAGACCCCCTTGAGCTGAGTAACCGCAACATAGCAGTCAGCTCTAGGAAGTGGGCCACATGCCTTCACCCTACCATGCCATCTAGCTCAACGCTGAACGGGGATGCCCAGATGCCTGGCCTCCAGAGGCAAGGAAGGAATCTGTGCCAGGGAGCAGCAACGAGAGCTAAGATGCCACCCTGCACCTGACAGAACACACTCAGGGAATGGTGCAGGGACAGCTACCCTGGGGCCCAGTTTTTGCCCACCCCTTCTGTCACAGCCTCACTCCTACAAGACACCCTGAAGGGCTTAGGCCCAGGGAGCTGGTTCTGGAAGCAGTGGCCTCTGGCTGGTTCCTATGGGCTCCTGGAAGCTGAGCCCAAGGTTTTCCACACACCTGTGGATGCCTTACCTGTCCTCCAGTTCCTGCTGGGCCGCCAGGGCCTCCCTCCCTCTCAGCAGATCCCACAGGCGCTCGTGGCTGGTGTTGGAGGCAAGCAGAGCCCTTCGTGCTGCGGCTTCGATCTTGGTGGCTGTGTCCCTGTGGCTATGCGAATTGGCATGGCGGTCACCAAGAGCACACACAGAGGTGGCAGTGCCCAGAGTCCTGCTTCATGGGTCTCCGGCAAGACGGACTACTTCCCACCCATCTGCCACTGCAGCATTGGTGACCTGGACAGAGTCACACCTGTGGTCCTGGCACAAGGACTAGCCAAGGCCCTTCACCACATGGCCTCTCGAATGAAGATCACAGCAGGAGTGGACAAGCCGGCCTGGGATTGCGCCCTGGCTCTGTCACTTCCAAGCCGTGTGTCTGTGAGTGAATCAGTGGATTCTCTGCATCTGTCTCCTCGTCTCTAAAATGAGTTTGGTCCCCCGAGCTGAAGAGGAAAACTGGGCTAGAGAGATGGCTCTTGCACAGCGTGGAGCTCAGTTCTCAGCAGTCACGTGACTGCTCACACCTGCCCGAGACTCCAGCGCCACGGGGTCCTACACCTTCTAGCTCCCATGGGTAGGTTTATTATGTATTTTCATATTTTGTATTTATTTTTAAGTTATAAGCATGGGGTGTGACTGTGTGCATGTGAGTTCAGGTGCCCTCAGAGGTGAAGAAGAGGGAGTCAGGTTCCTTAGGGCTGGAGTTACAGGAGGTTGTGAGCCAACCAATGTGGGTGGTAGGATCTGAACTCAGGTCCTCTGGAAGAGCAATGTGTGCTCTTAACCACTGAGCCATCTCTCCAGCCCCAAATAAACATGTTTTTTAAAAGGAGGAAAATGTGCTGGGCATGGTGGCACACACCTTTAATCCTAGCACTCGGGAGGCAGAGGCAGGTGGGTCTCTGAGTTCAAGGCCAGCCTGGTCTACAGAGAGAGTTCAAGAACAGCCAGGGCTACACAGAGAGATGCTGTCTTGAAAAACCAAATATAAATAAATAAATAGAGAAAAATGTATGTGATGCACATACATGCATACGTACAGGCAAAATATTCATACATGTAAAATAAATAAACCTAAAAAATTTTAAAAGAGGAAAATCACTAGGGATTCTATACATTTAGGATCATAGGTTGTTTTCCACAAGAGGTGGAAAAAAATGACCTAAACGCAAAGTTAGGAAGACAGCTTAGTCAGCAAAATGCTTGCCTTGCAAGCATGATGTCCAAAGTTTGATTTAGCACCCACATAAAAAAGCTGGGTACAGGGCTGGAGAGATGGCCTAGAGGTTAAGAGCACTGACTGCTCTTCCAGGGGTCCTGAGTTCAATTCCCAGCAACCACATGGTGGCTCCCAACCATCTACAATTCAATCTGGTGCCCTCTGCTGGCAGTGTAGGCAGAACACTGTATATGTAATAAATAAATAAATCTTTAAAAAAAGAAAGAAAGAAAGAAGGAAGAGAGCTGGAGCCTTGGGATTTGGGGGCCGCCGGGTTAGACTAATTGGTGAGCTTCAACCCAGTGAGAATCCCCAAAACTGCATATCACTTAAGAAATGACACCCCAGGCTGTCATCTGGCCTGCATACACACTAAGACGTATCACCACTACTGCCCCCATGACCAACGCTTGTTAGACCATTATATACCCATTTAAAGGAATGGAGTACCGACCTGTGATCCCACCTACATGAAATGTCCTAAATTAGCAAATCTATAGAGATAAAAAGTCGATTATTAGTTGCCAGGACCAGTTGGAGAGGCTGTAGAGAATGAAGGATGATGAAAGTTGGATACAGGGTTTATTTGGGGATGATAAAAATGTTCTATGTTTACGCCGGGCGGTGGTGGCACATGCCTTTAATCCCAGCACTCGGGAGGCAGAGGCAGGCGGATCTCTGTGAGTTCAAGGCCGGGCTGGACCGATAGCTTCCAAAACAATACAGAGAAACCCTGTCTCATAAAAACAAACAAAAAATGTTCTACGTTTACATCTAACAGTCATGTGTCTCAGCATACAATGAGATACTGAACTACAAAGTACTACTAAGTATATGATAACCCCACCCTATGTGTGTGTGTGTGTGTGTGTGTGTGTGTGTGTAGGCCAGAGGTCAACCTCAAGTGTGGCTCCTCAGGATATTAGAATTATTATTGCTATTATGGTTTTTTGAGACAGGTTTTCTCTGTGTAGCCTAGGCTGTCCTGGAACTTGCTTTGTAGGTTAGACTGGCCTTGGACTCTGAGGTCCGCCTGACTCTGCCTCTTGAGTGCTGGAATTAAAGGTGTATACCACCACATCTGGCAAGATTTTATTTGTTTTTATTTTATGCATGTGCTTTGCTTGCATGTATAGATTGCAGTGCCCGTGAAGGCCAGAAGAGGGCAGCAGAGCAGCAGAGCCCTGGAACTGGAGTCACAGGTGATGGTGAGTCACTTGTGTGTCTGAGAATGATTCCCAGGTCGTCTCGAAGAGTGACTGCTGCTGTTAAATGCTGAGTCACCTCCCCAGTCCCTCCACCTTATTTAGTTTTGTTGTTATTGTTTTTTGGGGGTTGTTTGTTTGTTTTTTGAGACATGGTTTCTCTGCATACGCCTGGCTGTCCTGGAACTTGCTCTATAGATCAGGCTGGCCTCCACTACTGGGCTTCACCTTGTTTAAGACAGAGTCTCGGGCTGGAGAGATGGCTCAGAGGTGAAGAGCACTGTCTGCTCCTCCAGAGGACCTGAGTTCAATTCCCAGTAACCACATGGTGGCTCACAACCATCTGTAATAGGATCTGGTACCTTCCAGAACATGCAGAACAGTGTATGCATGATAAAAAAAAAAAAGACAGAGTCTCTCAGGTGGTGGTGGCACATGCATTTAATCCCAGCACTCAGGAGGCAGAGGCAGGAGGATCTCTGAGTTTGAGACCAGCCTGGTCTACAGAGTGAGTTCCAGGACAGTCAGGGCTACACAGGGAAACTCTTTTGTCTCGGGGAGCAGGGAAAGACAGGGTGTCTCCTAGGCTGAGCTGGCTGGCCAGGTGCTCCCAGAATTGTCCTGTCTCTGTATCCTTAGTGCTGAGATTACAAGTCAGTGTCTCCACACCCGGATTTTTACATGGGTCTGGGGATTGAACTCAGGTCCTCATGTCTGTGTGATAAGCACTTTCATGACTAAGTCATTTCCCCAGGCTCCAGGAACTACATCTTAATGAACTTGTGGTTTTTTAAAGCCACCAGATGCTGAGATTCGTTCCATTGAGCAAGCTTTTTCCCACACGTCTACACCCCCAGCCTCACTCCACCCCAACCCCCTCCCATGCTGGTAACATTGACTCCCCATTGAACAGCTCTTGGGCTCATCTGGTCCTAGATCCTAGAGGCTAACCCTGACTCTGGAGCCTGTCCAAGAGGCCTGGCCCCCATGTCAACAGTATGGGCATAGTCCCCCACATCCTGGAGCCTTAGGGCTTACCTCCTGGCAAGGACATGGGCCTCTGATGCCAGATGGCTCCAATTGGTGGGTGGGCTGGATCCTTCCGGAAGTCTCACCTTAAAGAACAGAGAAGGAAACTGAGGCTCATCCTTGGAAGGTCGAGGATTACAGCTGGCTAACTGACTGGGTAGAATAAAATGGTGTCAATAATTTTATAAATGCACAAAGATAACTGTGACACCAGCTCTCGGCGGGCAGCTTCCCCACACATGAGAAACCCAGTGACCTCTCTTTCATTATGTATTCACCGTCTACTCAAATATATTTGCTTTTTGCAAATAGCACGTTTCTCTGTCAGAGGAGACCCAGTATGGCCCAGTCTGAAGATGACACCAAGCATCTTTTAAAGCGTACACCACACCACGGGCCATCAGTCAAGGGCAGGGCTGGGCAAAGACTCCCACACAGGGGAAGCAGGGCTGGGGGAGACCACGGTACCAGAAATGAAAGAGCTGAGGCTGCTCGCAGGACCTCCTCCTCTGAGGACTGCAGTGTCTCCCCCAGCTCCGTGAGCTGGACACAGGTCTTCTGAGCCCCAGCCTGGGCACAGCGGGCACTCCCTCTCAGCACCTGCAGCTGCTCCCACGTGGCCTTCATGGAACCTTCCAGGCCCACCAGCTGCTCCAGGAAGGCTTCCCGGGTCTCTGTGGGAAGCCAGAGGATCAGTGATCATCAGTGATTGGGATTCCACTCGAAAGTCCCCTCACCCGGGGGCCATCACAGGTCTCCATCTGCCTGGACACAGCTGCACCCCCCTCTCCCCCGTGCTACTCTGCCCCCAGCCTCCATTGCACCAAAGGAGAAACTCATCTGTATTACAGCTGCAAAGACTGAGACCCAGAGAAAACAAATTAAGACTTATAGCCAATCAGCCACAAACAGGGACTTGGAAGCAGGCCCTCTGGAACCACTGGGCCGGCAGTGGACCCCTAACTCAGTTCAGTGCTGTGAATCTCTCTGAGGCTCACATGGGGCCATCTCATTGGTGATTCATCCAGCTCACAGGTACTTGGCTCATCTTTAGCCAACTGCTGAAGCACAGCTACTTGCAAACACAGCTGTTACAAAGTAACCAGTCCAGTCTCAACTTTCTGGAAATTTTCTGTATCCCAAGGCCACATTCCACCTGGCTTAATTACAGGTATGCTTTTCTTAGTTACTAATCTTTTTTTGGGGGGGATGTGCCCAACAGAGGCTAGAAACATGGCAGCAATCACACAGGCCAAGAGTCAAAACCCCAGAGGACTTCCCCGTTCAGCACCTGGAACAGTGCCCCAGGCTCGCAGAGGGTGTGGTTCAATAGTTGAATGAGTCCAGACCAGGTTTGCTTTGAGCTTTTAGTCAGTGAATAGCAGGAGGCAGGAAACAGAGACCCATGCTAATATTGTTATAGACGGGCTAGGGACATGGGTGGATAGGCCTGTGGGGTGTCATGACTATCCGTAGAGCTCCCAAAGTATCCAACCAGCCCAGGTCCTCCCAGCCCCCTGGCCTCCCATTCTGCAGTTCCCTGTACCTTGAAGTAGGTGGTGACCTTGGTAGACATCCCCCGAGGGGCTTCTCCCTGCAGAAGGTCTAGTGGTCTCCAGGGGCTGCCACATCCGGACCCCTGCAACCACCCTTCCATCAGCGTCAGCCTGGCCTTCAGCTTGGTGGCCTGCCGGGGACGGTTGGGAAGGAAAACTGTAAGAGGCCGGGGTCTCTAGGGGCTAGGAGCTGCCCTTGGCTTCTGCCTGGTCCAGACTTTCCACAGCTTCTCCCCTTCCAATCCTACATGTGTCTCAGTGCTAAGAGCTCACCAACCCCGAGGACCTATCCTGCCTGCCCAATTTCACCAGCTACTTCCCTTCTCACAGCCTAGCGCCTGCTGGCCCCTGCCAGCCACACCCCTGCCCTCCTGAGGGAAGGACAGAGAGAGAGAAAAGGAATCCCATGAAGGCTGGTTGTGCAAGTGCATGCGTGTATATGTGCTTGTATGTGTACACATGTGTACATGTTTGTGTGGGGAGATGCGTGTGTCAGCGTGTTTGTGCGGGGAGATGTGTGTATATGTTCTTGTATGTGTACACATGTGTACGTGTTTGTGTGGGGAGATGCGTGTGTCAACCTTGGAAGTTGTTCCTGTTTAGATACCACTCACGCTGCTATTTTTAGTTTGTTTGTTTGTTGTGTTGTTTTGTTTTCTTTTGGTTTTGATTTTTTCAAGATAGGGCTTCTGTGGTGATATATTATTTATGATTTCATAAAGTTTGCCTAACGGATCAGAATGCAAAGCTAGTCACAGCCATAGAAGCTGGGCAGTGGTGGCACACACCTTTAATCCCAGGACTCAGGAGACAGAGGCAGATGGATCACTCTGAGTTCAAGGCCACCCAGGGCTACATGAGAGTGAATCAGTCTAAAAGAGAAACAGAGCTCACACCTTTAATCCCAGTACTAGCGAGGTGTATAAGACAGGAGCAGGGTCTCAGAGAAGAATTAGTTTCCAGTCACAGGGAATACAGGATCTCCATTTCAGCCCCGGTAGAGGTAAGAGCTATTGGCTGGCTGCTTTGCTTTTTTGATCTTCAGCTTGAACCCCAATAACTGTCTATGGTTTTTATTATTTATGTTACAGGTTTCTCTGTATAACAACTCTCCTAGAACTCATCCTGTAACCAGGCTGGCATCAAACTCACAGAGATCCACCTGCCTCTGCCTCTCAACTTCTGGGATTAAATGTGTTCGCTACCACCGCCTGGAGTTTTTTGCTTGCTTGTTGTCTAGTTTTGTTTTTAAAATAGAATCCTTCACTGGCCTGGAGCTCATCAAGTAGGCTTGTCTGGTTGGGACCTGGCTGCCTCTGTCTTCCTAGCCTTTGGTTGCCCCTGAGTCTCATTTTTACATGGCTTCTGACGATCAGACTCAGGTCCTCATGCTTGTGTGGTTGGCATTTTAACAGCCCCATTCATATCTCTGTCCATCCTTTCCACCGTGCTTCTAGAGCTTGATGCAATGCCGATGCTATGGGCACCTGCTGCCAGCGTGTGCAGCAGTGTTGAGTCCCATGCTTTCACCGACGCGCGCAACGGTCACATTCATGGCGTGCGTGTCGGGAGCCAGTCAGGACATGACTGTCTGCCATGGCTCAGTTCTCTTTCAACCGCACTAAACAGAGGGCCGTGTCCCAGGCTCCGTTGAAGGAGAATATTATTTAGAGGTGTGTGCCTTTTGTGTATGCTGCATTTGTTTAACTCGGTGAAGCTGTGATTCTTTGCCTGCCTAAAACACCTGATGGTCTAGTAAAGAGCTGAACATCTAATAGCGAGGCAGGAGCAGGGATGGGTGGGGCCGTCAGGCAGAGAGAATACATAGAAGGAAAACAAAGAAGAGGACCAACGAGAGGGCAAGAGGAAGGAGAGGAGGACATCATGGGTCAACCACCCAGCCACTCAGCCACCCAGTCAGCCATCAGTCAGTCACGGAGTAAGAGGGAAAGTAAGATACGCAGAAGTAAGAAAGATCAAAGCCCAGAGGCAAAAGGTAGTCAGGATAGTTAGTTAAGAAAATCCTGCAAGCAACAAGCCAAGTTAAGGTTGGGCATTCATAACTAAGAATTAGCCTCCATGTGGGAGTTATCGGGAGCTGGGTGGTGGGCCCCCAAAAGGCAAAAGAGTAAAAATCACACAACACTGCATCCTTAGATCCAAAGTCCCCAGTGCAACGATGGACTCTGAACTTTCCATGCCTTTCTCAATGACAAATGGATTGTGAGCTCATCTGGAAGGAAAAACTGTCCCAGGCACCCGGAGGCCATGTGGTAGCTTGATTTACCCAGTGGTGCAAAATGCATTCTGTCTTGCAGAACTGGAGGTGGCCTGGCTTACGGGCCTGGCCCGCTTGCCCCTCGGGCTCATAGCTAGAGCTCAGGACATGCCACTTTCTCCTACAGCACCAAACGTCCTCAGAGCCCCCACTTGGCCCAGGAGGTTGGGAGGTTTGAACTAGCTGTTCTGGAGTAGGTCATTAGAGTTTGCAAGGATGCCCTCTGCCTGGGGTCTCTCGGGCTCCAACTCCTGACCTCAATCCTACCCACTCCCTACTTGAAACGCAGCTTGTGTGGTCAGTCATCCCATCCCCTCTGAGCTGTGTAAGGATGAGGCCTTGGCCATCGGAGGCCTCTGGCTCATCCAGGACAAGAGGACAGGTTAGGCGGATTGGAATGGGGAGGCTGGGAGAACTCAGTGGGCACGTAAGGCCTGAGGTCTGTGAATAAGCAGGCAGCTTCTGGTCCATAGCATGGAGCTGGTGTTCCCTGGAGGTGTGAAACGAACCTGAAGGTGGGGAGTCTCAGCGTAGCAACTTACCCCCTCCTTCACCAGAGCATAGCAGGCGGGACACTCCCGGCACCCTGTATCGCCTTCCGCGAGGAAGAAGTTGTCCTGGCAGTGGTCACACTTGTAACCCGTGAAGCCGGGCCGGCACACACATGTGCTGTTCTCACGGCACTGAGATGAGACAGCTCCCAGTGGAGAGCACCTACAGTCTGGAGGACAGGAGCAGCTCTGGGGACCTAATGATGACCTCAAACGCACCTCCCACCCCGAATCCTCATGGATTCCCACAAACCCCGAGTGTCCTCAAGTGCAGACACCAGGGCTCCATGCCAGAGACTGACTAGATGGTTGGAGCCAGCAACCAAGCCTTGAGGCTCACTCGCTGCAATGTTCCAGGGACCCAGTACTGCCAAGTACTAGATGTCCGGTGAGAAACCTGTGTTTCACATGAGACGTGATGTCTGAAGACATACAAGAGCTCAGTGGTCACACTAGAGGCGCCACTAGGACACCGCGTTCCTCACACTCAGGCACCCCACGTTCTCAAGGCCAGGCTTAGGCAACCAGCCAGCATCTACCCACCATCTCCCCCACCACAGCTGCTTCCTGTGGGCTGTCTCCAGCAGAGGACCTCAGCCCCTCCCTCCCACGGCCCACTAGGACCCAGCTTGCTCACCTCGGCAGCCCTTGACGGAGAAGCCGAAGAAACCCAGCTGGCATCTATCACAGGATCGGCCTGTGACGCCGGGCCGGCAGGGGCACTGGCCAGTCTTGGGATGACACTTGTTCTCCAAAGAGCCGAGTGGGTGGCATTTACAGCTGCAGCAAGAAGAAAGTAGGAGGGTTGATGAGGCCACCCCTTAGCCCAGCCTCTGAGGGTTGCCTGTGCCCAGGACAGCACAAGTCACATAGGACACTGGGGGGAAAAGCCACTGGTAAGTCACTGTAAAACTCACACTACAGGCTCAGGGAGCCACACAAGGAAGTCTGTTCACTTCCTTCAGTCTTCCCCAGAGTCTTCCTTTGAGGCTGAGACGTCCATCTCAGATGCTGCTGTGGTCAAAAAGTCACCCAGTAGGGCTGGAGGGATGGCTCAGAGGTTAAGAGCACTGACTGCTCTTCCAGAGGTCCTGAGTTCAATTCCCAGCAACCACATGGTGGCTCACAACCATCTACAATTCAATCTGGTGCCCTCTTCTGGTGTGTAGACACACACACACTCTCACACTCTCAGACACTCAAACATACACTCACTCACACTCACACACTCACTCACTCACACTCACACTCTCACACACACACACTCTCACACTCTCAGACACTCAAACATACACTCACTTACATTCACACACTCACTCACACACACACTCACACTCACATATACTCACGCACACTCACACACACACTCAAACACACAACCCACACACTCACTCACACTCCCACTCTCACACACAAACATACACTCACTCACACTCACACACTCACACTCATACACTCACTCACACTCACACACTCACTCACACTCACACACTCACACACACACCAGGCCCTGTGTTCCCTGGGGCTATCTGAGGATCGGAAGCTGCTTTCAGAAGAGTCCCCAAGAGCAGGACACTCCACAAGCCCATTCAGTGCAGACACTAATCCACACGAAGCCAGATGCTAAATGGCTCAGGACAACACGCCTCTACTTAGACAAGACCCCAAAGAGTCAAATTCAGAGACATAGTCAAATAGTGGAGGGGGAGGGGACAGAGGACATTAAACAACAGTCCAGTGGGCACAGAGCTCACCGGGGGGCATGGCGGCAGGGAACAGCGTACAGTGCCAGGGCCCCTTAGGCCAATGAATCACATGCTTAAAACGATGGCCAAGGAAGACAGTTTTATGATATAGGTTTTATTATGATAAAAAATTAATGATGTAATATACCAATAGCCATTTAATTGTCCACTTTAAGTGGGTGACTTTGTGGGGCATGTAGATATCTCAGACGCTGTTAAATGCTCCTCTGAGGATAGCAGGAGTCCTGCAGCAGGGGGCGGGAGTGAAGGAGAATGGGACCTGGGAGTGGGAAGGCTCCGCTTCCCTTATGTTACCTCATAGACATTCCTAAAACTTAAATCGGAAAAGCCGTGTGTGTGTGTGTGTGTGTGTGTGTGTGTGTGTGTGTGTACATGCCTGCATGTATGTGTGTATATACACATGCCTCTGTGTGTGTGTACATGCCTGCATGTATGTGTGTAAATACACACGCCACTGTGTGTCTGTGTATACATGCCTGCATGTATATATGTATATACACATGCCTCTGTGTGTGTACATGCCTGCATATATGTGTGTATATACACATGCCTCTGTGTGTGTGTCTGTGTGTAAATGCCTGCATGTATGTGTGTATATACACATGCCACTGTGTGTGTGTATGTGTGTACATGCCTGCATGTAGGTGTGTATATACACATGCTTCTGTGTGTGTGTACATGCCTACATTATGTGTATATACACATGCCTGTGTGTGTGTATATGTGTATACATGCCTGCATGTATGTGTGTATATACATATGCATATGTGCATGAAGGTCAAAGGTCGATGTTGGGGGTCATCGTCAATCAATTTCTTCCTTATTTTTTGAGGCGGGGTCTGTCATTTAACCACACTGTTTCTGCTGGACTGTCCCTGCCTTCCCAGTGCTCAGAGTACGGACGTGTGAGACAGCACTTGGCCTTCTTCTACATGGGATCTGAGTCTCAGACTCGGGTCACCCGACTTATTCAGCAAGTATTTTACAAGCTGAGCCTTCTTTTGAAACATGAAAAGTCTGGCTTGAGGTTTTCCACCTTTGCAGTGAAGATCCCGGGTCCCCCGGCTTCATCCCAAACCATGAGTCATGCTCTCAGGGCCCACATGTGGGCCTTTCAAGGTTCAGTTGTATATGGCCAAAGCCTAGGGAGGGCTCTAGCAACTCAGCATTCTGGGACCTGGACAAGGAGACTTTGTCCCCAGAAGCCATGCTTGCTACATCTAGGGCCAGGCTCTTTCCTGCCCGTCACACGCAAACCCACTAGAGTCAGGGCAGGACGGGGCATCAGGGCTGGTCCTCCTGGGGGATAGAGCACAGGCCACTCACCTCTCTGACCAGGGGGGCAGTGTGTGCACACCACCTCTCCAGTCTCTGGGATGGCTGTACAGGCTGATTGGCCAGGGCATGGACAGGGCTGGCAGTCATCGGCTTGGCCTGAGAAGGCATTGCCGTAGAAACCTGGCATGCAGCGTTCACAGGATGGCCCCTCGGTGTGGTGGCCACACAGGCAGACTCCTAAGGAGCAAGGCAAATAACCTGTTCACCACCTCAGCCCAGCGCTCCCCAGACCAGCGGCTGTCAACCTTCCTCATGCTGCGACCCTTTAATACAGTTCCTCACGGTGTGGTGACCTCAGCCATAACATTATTTTTGTTGCTATTTCATAATTGTAACTCTGCTACTGTTATGAATCCTAATATAATTTTTTTTGAGATAGAGGTTTGCCAAAGGGGTCGCCCTAGACAGTGAGTATCCTGGTGAAGGAGCCATGGGGCACGCCCTCTTAGACCAGGGAGAGCCTGAGATGGAGGCCGAATGTTCTGGGGATGAAGCATCCAGGTGAGCCAGGCTGCCTGGGTTCACAGCCTCTGCTTAAGGCCTGCGTGATCTGGGAAAACCATCAAACCCGCCCCGTGGAGGGCAGGCAGCGCAGCTCTGCCACCTATTGGCCACGTGGCCACCCTGCACCTCAAGTCCCTGTCTTGGAGGATGGGAAGGTAGTGTGGGCCACACCAGCAGGTATGCCTGCCCCAGTCAAGCGGAGTGCCAGAGACAGGGAGGGAGCTCGTGCATTGTTTCACTATTGTCTGTATGTCTGACCGATGGAAGGCACGGCAACTCTGGTTCCTTTCCGTGCTCCTGAGTCCTCTTCATCTTGAGGGACCCACCAAACAGAGGCCCTGGCCCTGGCTTTCAGCCTTGCGGGGCTCACCCTGTGCGGGGACCATGAGTGCATGCAGGTCATCAGTAAGGCAGCTCTGTTCTGCCTGCTGGTCCCTGAAGGTGGGACATCACAGGCCCTCGTCTCCAGTGCAGCAGCTCCTGGTGTCTGCTCAGGGACGCTTAGAGGGGACAACTAGCCACAGGGACAGAAAGAAAGTCAAGATCACCCCCCTACAGGAGGCAACCAGCAGCGTCCAGCCGGGGTTGTAAGGAGAATAAAGGGGGCTTCATTCCCTGGATAAGCAGACCAGGGGAGGGCTCCTGCTCCAGCCCCACACCCCGAGGCTTGCCCCTCGGACCGTTTTACAAATGAAGGCTTGCGGGTATGAGTGGAAAGCTATGGCCAAGTCAAGGGTTCTGTGGGGGTGAAAATCAGCTCCATCTTATCAGAAGATTCTGTTTCCTCAATAGGAGCTGCAGGGAGCATTATGTGGGAAAGGATTGTGAGGCCTCATCTAGGCTCAATTGGTCATGTCTGCCAGGCACAGGACAGTTAGACGACCCTCCGTGTATCAGGAGTGACAGAGACCCCATCTGTTCCGTGGAGACTGCAGGGTGAAAGGTCTGTGGTAGGGAGGTGGAGAAGCTGTGTCTGTCCCCTAGCACCTTCTGGTCACATGACCCCCGGGGAGGCTTCTGCTCTACAGAGATAGCTCTATCGAATGCCACCCGACCCCAGACTGCTGGGAGGTGTGGCTCTGCCACTGTCTGGCCCTGAGGTCCCCGCACCCTAGGTCCCTGTCTTGGAGAACTGGACAGTAACGGAGAACACGTCACTCTGATGTCTGTGGGAGTCGAAGATGGAGAGCCAGCAACACCAGGGAGAGGGAGGAAGGGGTGGCACTATTTCACGGTGTCCTGTGTCTGCCCCTCCCAGGAAAAGACCCCTCAGCTCACCTGCTCAACTCTCCCTGAGCTTTGGCGCAAAGCAGGACTGTTATTTCAAGTCTGGACAATTCCTGACATTCATGTGGCCTTTTCTCCATGGCCTGGGCTGTGTGCACTCTGTCACTGTCTGGACTGTACAGATGGGGTGCCCAGGGAGTGACTTTCCCAAGGCCACAGCCATGGAGTGGCGAAGACAGTAGGCTTGTGGATTTTGGTTGACACCCATGACGCTGCTGGCACCTGCATGACCCTCCCGATGTCATCCCTCTGTCACTGTCTGTGCTGATAAGCCCTTCCTCACAGCACCCATCCAGTAGTAAAAGCCCTGAGGAGTCCCTCCCAGGCCTGCCCACTGACAGACGCCTGCAGGGAGGCTGGCTGCAGGCCTTCTCAGATGCTCACAATCCCTGGCACCCAGGTAGCATGGCAAGTCCGGTGCCTGTGTCCCCAAGAGCCACCAGTGAGGGCCAGGCTTACTCTCGCCATGCTCAAGCGGCCGAGGTAGCCTTGGCGTGGGGTTCTGGGAACTCACCTGTGTTGGGATCACAGGTGCCATGGTGGTTACAGGTGCAGGGGATGCAGTTGGTGAAGGGACCCCCACGCGGTACCTCTCTTTTGTATCCCAGAGCACAGAATTCACAGAACTGGCCTGTGTGTCCCAGGGGACACAAGCAGCTCTCTACCCAAGAGGCTGGCGGGGCGAGCCCTCTCTGGGGCTGGGCTGATGTAAGCCGGACTTCACACAGGAACACTTGGCCTGCAGAGTGAGGAGAGAAGGGGAGGCCTCCGTGCGTGTCTACCCAACGCTCCCTGAGCAGCCCTGAGACAGGCCCGTGCATACAGAGGCAGCTTGTGAGGCAGCTGTCATTTTGTTTGTTTTTTGAGACGCAGTCTTGCTGTGTAGCCTGTGTGGTCTTCAGACTGCTATCCTGTTGCCTTATCCTCTCAGGTGCTGGGGTTACAGGCACGAGCCACTATGCCAGGTTTTCAGTGTAATTTTGAAAACAACAGTCAAAAAATCAAGACCTAAGGAAACAGATGAGTTTTAGACCAAGAGATGGGTAAGGGCTGGTGGGGGTAGCTCGGTGCTGGAATGTGCACTTAGTGTTGCAAGATCTTGATTTTAACCTGGGTGGATGGGTGGGTGGGACAGAGAGAGAAGACTGTAAGATGTCCATGCTTGGGGCCAGCAAGATGACTCAACGGGTTAAGAGCCCTAAGGAGTTCAATTCTCGGGACCCCACAAATTGTCCTCTGACCTCCACACACGCGGCACACACATAAATGTGTGTCCATAAATATACATATATACAAGTAGATAAATATCATTAAGTGTTGGGGAAGTCTTATGCTAATAAAGCACTGTCTGGCCAATAGGAATCTAGATAGGTGGGGCTAGGAATCCAGGAGGATTCTGGGTAGGAGAAACACAGGAGAGTCAACATGTGACGCCATGGGAGTAGGACACCGGGAACTATTCTCCGGTAAGAAACATACTTAGATTAACAATTATGGGGTAATTACTTAAGGCAGAGCTAGCCAGTAAGAGACAAACAAGGCCAACAGCTTCATAATGAATATAGCCTCCTGTGTGTTTATTTGGGACTCATGCGGATCTAGAACCAGGCTGGCGCGGCAGAGCCCAGGCGACTGGCGGGGGATAACCAAAGCGGCTAGCAAAAGAAAAAGCTTCTCTTAACAGAATGGTGTCAGAAGTGGGATTATGAGTTTCCACGCAAAATAGCAAAAGCTTTAAAGGAATTTTAGAAACAGAAGAACAGAGAGAAGCAAAGATTTTGGTAGCAGCAATTTTCTCAGGTGTGCTCTGTTTTGCTAACGACAAGCCGAGATTCACATGGCTCGCTTACTGGAGTCTTCCTGACTCGGCATAAAAAGAAAAAAAAAATCAGCCAGAAAAATTGTTTTAAGAGACTCTGCTAACGATTGAAAAGTGTGTACGTACAGCTGGAAGTGGCAGCTTTTGCTGGAGGTCAGCATGGACTGAGGCGGTAAGCTGGAGTCACGCTTACGCCCGCCATCTTGAAACGGCAGTTTAAAACAGTCGCGGTTTTACAGATAAGACACGTGGCCAGAAAAACATAAAGATTTACAGTAAAGTCAGACTTGGATAAAGAAAACCTCTAAAGGTTTACAGTGTGTTTAAAAATATATGGGAGATTGAGAGAGAAAATGAAATGGCAAAGTGGTAAATAAATACAAAAGCCGGCGTTGTGGTGGCGCACGCCGGTAGGATTGCTCCAGAGGCAGAGGCAGGCAGGTTTCCAAAGAAACCCTGTCTCAGAGAAAAATAAATAAAAGTAAAATAAATAAAGTAATAATAATAAATAAATAAGCCACGTAAAGATGGAAAATACACAGAGAGTCTGGATACTGTACGCTATTATGTTTTTCAGTTTTTTGCTTGCTCAGGAAGGAACTGCTGCTAAAGTACACTTGATTATAAATGCTGCTGAATTAATCCAACTTCTATCTTTTGAAAATGCCTTGACTTCAAAATTTAAGTATAAGGATATGTTACTCGGAAAAGGAGTTTTTGCTTATGTTTCCACAGAACATAAAAAGCTGAGGATTTCTTCCAGACTTCTGTGGTTTGACGAACCAAGACCCCCAGAAGCAGTGGACCAGATGTTCCAACAATTGAAACAGCTAAGATGATGCAGTTTTACAGGCCCAGAAAATACGGACTGATACAGGTTTCTGTGTTTTGTCATGATCCCCATGGTATGAACAGCGCCCCCTTCCAGCAGGAAGCAGTTTGGAATGAACGACGTCCCAATTCCCATCTTGTTTATAAATCTTTGTTTTCATTTAAATGGGATTGTTTATAATTGGCTAATGATCACAGCCAATATTTTTTTAATGGTAAAAAAGGGGAATTATGGTATGGGTATTGTTTTTCATTTATTGAGACAAAATCGAGGTCAATTTTGTGATGCTTATATTTCTCCTCTTGATTAAGTATTGTGCTTATACTGATCTTTTACAACGTAATGCATAATTGAATACAGACTATAGATAGGTACTTATAATAGAATTTCTAGTTACATAAGTTAGGTTTCTAGATATACAGAAATATATTTGAGATGGACAGTCTTCAAACCTCTCAAAGACCTTCAGAACAGGGCATTTAAAATGGTTTAGGGTTTGTCTTGACAATGAGAAATGTCTGATCCTGGCAGCACCAATTACGTCTGAGAGGAAGATGGGCATCGAAGAAACTCGTTATAAAGTTTGCTTTCAACATGGCAAGATTAGCCATTTGGGCAAGAAACTGCTCTTGCCTAGATTGTTTGACTGTTGTTGTATCATCTGGACATGCAGGACCCACAGGAAAGTGACTACTGAACTCAGTCTTACAGGGTTCCTGCTTGATGAAGAGTCTATGAGACTTTCTGCAGGACAAAGAAAAATGACTGACAGACTGCCAACGCAGATAGACAGTTTGAAATTTCCTGCTTTGCTGAGAAGTGTTCCAGACACATTGTGGCCTATGGGCTGAAGATGGATGCCCCAACGTTACAGAGGAACTTCGGGTGCCTGTCCAGGCAGTTAGATGTCTCTGTCAATCCTAGTGTTTATATATTATCCTTCTGTGGTCTTTGATGGAGTTGAAGACAGATAGTTATAGTTTTCCTTAGTTATGATAAAAGATAAGTTACATATAGAACTTTGGACTCACAAGGATGGTATGGATGATATTTTCTTTAAATCTTGCTAAAATATTGTAACTATGTTCTTATTTGATAACTGTTCTGTTATATACAATTTGACTGTGTTAAAGTTAAGACCTTTCTTTTTGTTTAAACAGAAAAGAAGAGATGTTGGGGAAGTCTTATGCTAATAAAGCACTGTCTGGCCAATAGGAATCTAGATAGGTGGGGCTAGGAATCCAGGAGGATTCTGGGTAGGAGAAACACAGGAGAGTCAACATGTGACGCCATGGGAGTAGGACACCGGGAACTATTCTCCGGTAAGAAACATACTTAGATTAACAATTATGGGGTAATTACTTAAGGCAGAGCTAGCCAGTAAGAGACAAACAAGGCCAACAGCTTCATAATGAATATAGCCTCCTGTGTGTTTATTTGGGACTCATGCGGATCTAGAACCAGGCTGGCGCGGCAGAGCCCAGGCGACTGGCGGGGGATACCAAAGCGGCTAGCAAAAGAAAAAGCTTCTCTTAACAATTAAGTTTTAAAACTTTTGCTGGGCATAGTGGCGCATGAGTTTAATCCTCTTGAAGTTTCAAAGCCATCCTGAGCTGCATAGCAAGTTCCAGACCAGACAGGGCTACATACTGAGACTCTTGCAACCCCAGCACTTGGGAGTCAGGGGTAGGAAGATGAAGAGTTCAAGACTAGGGAGACCCTGTCTTAAAAGCAGTTGGGTGAGCTTAGTATCCGTATGAGCCTATGGTGTGGCAGAAATGCAGTGCCATTGTTGCCCGGCAGAGGGGGGGGCAGTGCTATGGGGGGGATGTGGAGGTGCTGGATTCTGTCAAGGACCATGTACTTGACCCTAGAGTTGTCCTCCCCCAGGACTCCCCGTCCCCACAGTCCAGCCCCTGCCTCTGTCGTCACAAACACTCCTGCTGCCTTGTGTGCTGTTTCTCAATCTCAGAGTCCATGCCATGAGAACTCCTCAAGCAACGCAGGGCCAGGGCCCATGTCCTTAGGGGCGTATCCTCATCATACTCACCAGAGTGGTCCGGGCCAAGGCCCCTGGTCCAGATGCCCAGGGCAGTCAGGTTGGCAAGCAGCCGCTGGAAGTGGAAGGCAGGCAGTGGGGCATCTGCCTCCTCAGAGGTCTCCTGTAGGCTGGAAGGGACAGGAAGTCAGTGTGACAGCCTCCCAGAAACCAGCCTGCCTCCCCAGTCCACTCCCATCTCTCAGGATGGGGAGGCCACTTACAGGAACCAGAGCTGAACCTGTCCTGGCTGCTTGGTATCCTGAGGACTGGGAGGACTGGAGGGCCTTAGGGACAGAGCCAAGCCTGCCCCCTCCAGCCTCAGGTACAGAGGAGGTGGGGAGCCCCCAGGCGGCACCTGGAGGGTCAGCATGACTGGCTGTCCGTAGCTGAGTCTCTGATCGCCCAGGAACTTCTCTAAAGGTAAGAGGAAAAGGCTTGATAGCGCCACATGCTTAACGTGGCTCTAACATCCATCTGTATGGACTGTGTCAACAGCCATCCAAACAAGTGTGCCTGTGGCGGGCAGAAAATCCAAGGCCGGGGCTAGAGACGGCGCAGTGGTTAAAGTGCTTGACGCAAAAGTGAGGAGACCCATCCACCCATCCATCCATCCTTCCACCCATCCATCTATCCATCCATCCACCCATCCATCCATCCACCCATCCATCCATCCATCCATCCACCCACCCATCCATCCACCCATCCACCCATCCACCCATCCATCCATCCACCCATCCACCCATCCACCCATCCATCCATCCATCTACCCACCCATCCACCCATCCATCCACCCATCCATCCATCCACCCATCCACCCACCTATCCATCCACCCATCCACCCATCCATCCACCCACCCACCCATCCATCCATCCACCCACCCATCCATCCATCCACCCACCCACCCATCCATCCACCCATCCATCCACCCACCCATCCATCCACCCACCCACCCATCCATCCTTCTACCCATCCATCCATCCATCCATCCATCCATCCATCCATCCACCCATCTACCCACCCATCCATCCACCCATCCATCCACCCATCTATCCACCCATCCATCCACCCATCCACCCATCCATCCATCCATCCACCCATCCATCCACCCACCCACCCATCCACCCACCCACCCATCCATCCATCCATCCATTCACCCACCCATCCATCCACCCACCCATCCATCCACCCATCCACCCAACCACCCATCCATCCACCCACCCATCCATCCACCCACCCATCCATCCATCCACCCACCCACCCACCCATCCATCCACCCATCTATCCACCCATCCACCCACCCACCCATCCATCCATCCATCCATTCACCCACCCATCCATCCACCCACCCATCCATCCACCCATCCATCCACCCACCCATCCATCCACCCACCCATCCATCCATCCACCCACCCACCCACCCATCCATCCACCCATCTATCCACCCATCCATCCATCCACCCATCCACCCATCCATCCATCCATCCTTCTACCCATCCATCCATCCATCCATCCACCCATCCACCTATCTACACACCCATCCATCCACCCATCCATCCACCCATCTATCCACCCATCCATCCATCTACCCATCCATCCATCCATCCACCCATCCATCCACCCACCCACCCACCCATCCATCCATCCATCCATTCACCCACCCATCCATCCACCCATCCACCCACCCACCCATCCATCCACCCACCCATCCATCCATCCACCCACCCACCCATCCATCCATCCATCCATCCATCCACCCACCCATCCACCCATCCACCCATCCATCCATCCATCCACCCATCCACCCACCCACCCATCCATCCACCCACCCATCCATCCATCCATCCATCCATCCATCCATCCACCCATCCATCCATCCACCCATCCACCCATCCATCTACCCATCTACCCATCCATCCACCCATCCACCCATCCACCCATCCATCCATCCATCCATCCATCCACCCATCCACCCATCTACCCACCCATCCATCCATCCACCCATCCACCCATCCATCCATCCATCCATCCATCCATCCACCCACCCATCCATCATCCTCTGCTCATGTTATCGCTCACCATCTGCCCACTCTCACCTATCTATTCACACCTCCATTTGTCCATCCATCACCGATGCCCTCACTTAGCATCCACCCACTCGCCCCTCCATTAGTGCATCCATCCGTCCATCTGTCTCCCTGTTTGCTCATCCTTCTATCCCTTAGCTTCCCATCCACCCATTCTCCCACGCACCTATCCACCCACCTCCACCCATCCAACCAGCCTTCTGTCCATCGATTTCTCACCTCCATTCATCCCTGCATCCACTTACCCACCCACCACACATCACCTGCTGAGACATGGTTCCTGTTCTCATGGACCTCGGGATCCAGTGAGAGCAGACGTACAGTGGCCCCTGCCCTTCGGTTGTGGAGGAGGCGGACAGTGCGAGGCAGCACTAAGGGAGTGCATCTGTCCAGCCTTGGAGAAGGGGAGGGAGTGGGGGCGCGGGGAGCTTCTTGAGGGGGCAATGCCTTAGCTGAGGACACAGGCGGAGGAGGCAGGGCCGGGCAAGGATCGTGCTCTAGGAAATGAACGGCATGTGCAAAGGTCCCAAGCCCAAGACTGGGAAGCAGCCAGGGTCAGGCCCAGGACTTTGGTTTGTTGTTGTGCTGGGATGGAATTCAGAGCCTTCTGCACACTAGGCAGGCACTTACTCCACCACCGAGCCCTGGGCTGACTTGACTGGGCATTTCTGTGCCACCATATCTACCCAAGAAGCCTCACCTGCCTTTCAAATGTATGGACACTGTTGCTGTTTACCGGAGCCAAGTTCATTTATTTTCCTGCATATGTCCATGTGTACATGGGAATGTGTGCATGTACGTATGCATGGAGGTCGTAGATTGAAGTCAGCTTTCTTGCATTCCACCTTACATTTGAGACAGGGTCTCTCACTGAACCTGGAGCTCACCGATTGGGCAAGACTGGCTGGCAACCTCCAGCGATCCAGTCACCTTTGCCTGCCTTCCAGCCTTCAGCGCTGGGCTTACAGATAGATGCAATGCTGCACCTAGCTTTTGTGGTTTTTACAGGGGGGCTGGGCATCCAAACTCACATCCTCACACTTTACCAACTGAGCCTCTCCTCAGCCCTGACAAGAGCATTTGAAAGTGCTTCCAGGGGCTAGTAGACGCTTGTCTAGCATACATGAAGCCCCGAGTTCGCTCCCCAGGACCACATAAAACTGGCCACGGTGGTACACATTTCTAACTCCAGCAGGAGGTCAGCTACGATCTGTAAGACTACCCCCACAAAATGCCTCGTAATTTGCAGCATTGGTCACCGTGGATTCCATTGTGAATACCAGTAAACGTGTCTGGCCCCTCTCCTAAGCTCCAGCCTGTGGCAGATTGCTGGTCTCTCTCCTCACGACCGGGTACCACACACTCCAAACACGTATATAATGCCTGGCTGCCTGCCCAGCTTCCACCTGGCCCTCTGCCAGGAGGACTAGCCTCTATCCCTCCCTCCTCCTCAGTCTCAGACTTGGGTTCTGGAATCTGCCTGTTTCCTCCCTCTCTCTTCAGGGCCAACCTTACTCCTGCCCCCCCTGCACCAGGCCCTCTTCTCCTAGAGCTGAGCCTCACCTGACCCTTGCCTCGGCCTTGGTGGTACTCGCCCGCTTGGAGTGTCTCTGTGTCCCTCACTGATCAGGCCTCAGGTTCATCCTGGGACTCTGTCCCTTTCACAGCAAGTGGGCCTCCAAGGTCTCCACCCCAACCCCCAGCAGGCAGGTTTGTTCTTCTGTACCACATCCTTACCTGCAGCCGCCCTCACCGAGGGAGTGGAACCCAGGCCTGCAGTGGTCACACTTCCAACCCGTCACTGAGGGCTTGCAGGTGCAGGCGCCTGAGTGGTCGCACTGGAGGCTCAGGGAGCCTGGGGAGGAGGAGCACAGGGCAGTGGAGGTGGGGGAGGGAGGGGAGAGAGGGGGAGGGAAGGGTGGAGCTAGGCTGCTCACCTGCTGGGTGGCAGTCACAGGGCTGGCATGGTGTCATGGAGGCCCATCTGTAATAGTTCCTCTCACAGCGCTCACAGTGTGGCCCGGCTGTGTGGTCACGGCAGTGATGACAGTGCCCGCCGTGGCCCGTGCTCCGGAAGAGCTCCCGGTCGAATGTGCACTCCTCGGAGTGCCCGCTACAGTTGCAGGCTGTGAGAGATGAGGGTCGCCTGTGTGAGCGGCTGGCTCTGCTGGGGGAGGGGCTCTCCTCCTGGGGGGAGGGGCTCTGCTCTCTGGAGCAGGCATCTCAAAGACAGGTGTGCTTGGTTAATCTTGTCAACCTGACAGGACTGAGAATCACCGAGGACACAAACTTCTCAGAAGTTTCTGCATTAGGCTGGGGTGGCAAGATCCACCTTAAGTACCGGTGCTGGGGTCCTGGACTGAGAAAGGAGTTTGGGAACAAACTGATGACATCATTAAGCTCTCTGCTTCCTGGCTGCAGATTCGGTGTGACCAGCTGCCTCACACGCCTGCCACCATCCTGAAGGGACCATAACTTCAAGCCAAACAAACCTTCCTTTCCTTATACTACTGTGCCAGCAGGCACTTGGGAAAACTGACTGACAGAAAGGGGTGGCTTTCAGGCCCGGCACGACCAAGTACACAGAGCCCAGGTATCTGCGATCCCCAAACAGGGTGCCCCATAAGATCAAGTGCTCCACAGCCGTGTTTTCCTGGAGGGAGTCAGAAAGGCGTTGGGATGGGGAAGATGGTGGAACAGGAAATGCGTCCTAGCCAGGAGGGGGACGTCTGGACCAGAGAAGCCTTGTCTGTGTGTGCCAAGAGGCTGGCTGTGGCAACATGCGTGTGGTGGGCAGGGGAGGGGGTACTGCGAAGTGAGTGGAATGTGAGGCGGAGGCTGGGAGCCCGGAGCTTCAGGGCGGGGTTTAAATGCATTTGCACTCTTTGGAGACCCTTCACTGCAGGTGGAGGAGGCCAGAGACCATGGAGAGTGACAACGACAGCATCCAGAGAAGAGGGGGCAGGGCTGCACAGAGACAACCAGAGCTACACAGAGAAACCCTGTCTTGAAAAACAAACCAGGTCACTAGACAAGTGCACACCAGCCTTACCCTACACCCCGGCGTGCCCAGTGTGGCACATCCTTGAAAGCCTGAAGGCAGGCGTCACGGAAGACACACATGCGTTTGTGTTCACAGCACCCACTGCTCAGGACAGCCAAGAGGAAGGAACAGCCCAGCCCATATGAGACTGGCCCATCTGGCCCAGCCATGCAAAGGACAGATGTTCAACTTGGAAAAGTGGGACAACTTCACCCTTGGGCCTAAAATACAGACAAACCCTGAGGGTGTGGTGCCAGATGGAAGAAGAATGTCACAGACAGAGCAACACTGCAGACATGCTTCCCATCACACGCACAGAGACAGACGGTGCAGGGTGGCGGAGGGACTGGAGGATGGCTCAGTGGGTAGCAGCATCTATTTGGCTAGCATGAAGGCCCGAGTTCAAATCTCAGCACCCATGTAAAGTCAAGTACTGCTGCGTGTTCCTGTAGCCCCAGAATGGAGTGGGTAGGAGTGGGGGAGGACAAAGATCCCAAGCACTTAGTGGCCAGCCAAGCCCAAACAGCAAGCTTCCAGTTCAGTGAGAGACCCTGCAGAAAGGCAACAAGGTAGAAAATGATAAAGGAAGACACTTGTTGACCTTCTCTGGGCTCTACATCCCCCCCACACACATACCACACACACACATACACACACATACACACACACTTACACACACACCACATACCACACACACACTCAGTCATACACACACACATACCACACACACATACACACACACATACACACATACACACACATACCACACACACACACACACACACACACCCACTCACACACACACCACATACCACACACACATACCACACACACATACCACACACACACACACACACATACACACACACACACACACACACACACACCCCACATACCACACATACATACCACACACACACATCCACACACATACCACACACATACCACACACACACATACCACACACACACACACATACACACACACACATACACACACACACACGCACGCACGCACTCACACACACACACATACACACACACGCACACACGCACTCACACACGCACACACGCACTCACTCACACACACACCAGTGTTACAGGAGTTAGTGAGATGGCTCAGTGTTTAGGAGCATATTCGGCTCTTACAGAGTACTGGAGTTCCCTGTTTACAACTACCTGCAACTCTAGCTTCCAGGGGCTTGACATCCTCTCTGGCCTCATCGGCAGCTCCACTCCTGTGTCCATACCCACACACAGACATGCACACTTGTATACACAATTAGACAGCAAAATAAATATTGTTAAAAGATTGTACGTTTCATAAGGGGCTGCGGGGTCTAGGGGAGGACAACCCTTTCTGTTTCTTAAGTTGAAAGCCCTCGGCACAGCTTCAGAACAGGGGGTTGTGTTTGTGACCCCAACTGCACACACTTGAAAGGGGATCCAGCCATAAGCTATGTGTATGTTACCACAACAAAAGAAAAATTTAGGGTAAATATATTGTCCCTCTGGGAACGCAGTTTGGTGACAGGGATGAGGAACCGCAGGGATATTCCCAGCAACTGACAAAAGAAGCCTTTGGGGGGGCCATGGCCTAAAGCACAGCCCAATCATCAAGGCATTTTATAGACTTGGGAAAATCGGGGATCTGAAGAAATAGCTAAAGGGAGCTACAGGACAGCAGTTCCCACAGTGACCAACGCCAGTGGCAGTCGACAGAACAGAAGTCACCCGGAAAGTCAGAGTCAAAGTGGCGAAAGGGAAAAAGACACAAGGTATTGTGCACGGTCATAAACGGAGACCCAACCGGACAGCGAGCGCCAGGGCCTGGGGAGGCAGCTCACCTGGTAAGCGTGTGCCCACAAGCAGGAGCACCTGAGCTCTGAGCATGAGGATGCATGACTGGAAGCAGATGTGGGGATAGCCACAGATAACCCTGGGGCTCACTGGCCAGCCACCCTACCTGAATCCGTGAGCTCCAAGCCCCGTGAGACTCCCTGTCTCAAGAAACGAAGTAGATGCCAACTAAGGAATAACACCCTACGTTGACCTCTTGTGCGCACACACACAGAAAACAGGCACAGAAAAAAAAAAGCAGCAGTTAAAAGACCATGTCCCAGTCAGGTGCGTAGTACATGTCTGTTATCTCAGCACTTGGAGGTAGAGGCAGGAGAATCAGTAGTTCAAAGCCGTCCTTGGCTATACTGTGAGTTCAGGGCCTGCTGGGCTGGGCTGCCAGGGACTGTCTCAGAAAAACCAAACAAAAGGCACAGGCCCCAAAGACAGCCGTCTAATTGGCGAGCATGTTTGTCCTCGGAACTCAGCACAACTGTTCCTCCTTCAGTTTCCCTCTGTTTTTCGCAATTTTCTTTCCTGAAGCTTGTTCTAATTTAAAATTGGAGAGAACCCAGCTTTACGAAACTTTTTAAAAAGCAACCGCCTTGCCAGGTTCCGTTTTAAGATGTTTTCTAAAGTTCCGTGGCAGCACAATTGGCACCGGGCTTCTGAGCCCTTCACGGGAGGGTGTGCAGGGGCCTAGGCGGGGTCAGGCGGTGCCTTGCTTGCTCCCCAGCTGAACACCAGGCCCAAATGTGCCCAGATGTGCAGGTGCTGGGGTGGACACAGGTGCTGCAGGGCCTGGTAGGCGAACGGTCAGACACTTCCCGGGAGGGAGCCAGGAGACACTTTAAAGGTGGCTGGCAGAGAGGCTGCCCTCAGAAGAGGAGGGTCACGGGGACTGCCTGCAAGTAAACAAGTCAGCTGCACTGGGGGACATGGTGACTCCTTCCTTGCCAAGCCAGGTGTAAGAGCTGCTGAGGCAACATCACAGGGGCCCAGCGGGACGGCTCACTGGAGAGTTAATTAGAAGAGCAACTCCAGCCTGCTCTGTAAGGAAGGCAGCCTGGAAAGCTGGGGAAGGAATACAGTGACAGGCACTGAACCACAGCCTCCTAGGCTCCTGTTAAGCTCCGGGCGCCGGAGAGGTGCGAGAGTTCCAGGGTGATGGTTTTGCCCCTTAGCTCTATATATGCTGCCCCTCTACCTAGAATGCTATGCTCCCCGACTCCCTGACTACCTTCCACGCATCTCAGCCCTGCCCATTGCATTGAGCACCTACTATGTGCCAGTAGAGCACATCTGCACACAGTCTGTCTGAGACCCCCCCAGTCTCGTTATGGTATGCACTCCACTAATGAGAAGCCTGCAGCTCAGAGAGAAGGGGTCCCGACTCCACACGTTTAACAGTCGGGTCTCTCGGTTCTCAGACCCTCAAAAAGACTATGCAGAGCCAGCTACCCTTCCACTGGGCTTCCTGGGAGCCCAGGGAGACAGGGCTTCTAGGAAAGGACCACAGATGATCATGGAGATAAAGAAATTTGCCTCCCAGGCCTCGGTGGCTGCAGATGCAGTGGCTGGCACTGCAAGGGCCGCCTGAGCCAAGCACCAGGTGAAAGGGACATCTTCCCCACCAGCCGGGAAGCCCGTCAAGACACGGGACTGCCATAAGTCGAGCTGCTCCGCATCCGGGGCTGACCTGGTGGGTAGGCCAGGCTTATTTTGGGAAGATGGAAACAAAATAAACTTTAATTACAGCCATCTGGGGATCCGGGAGGGGTGGGGTGGGTGGGGTACCAGAGGGGGCAGCAGGATTTGAGCTGGAACACATGGGCAGGCCAGACTGACACCCACCACCGGGGGCCACTTTCAGTGCGAGAGTGATTCCAGGCCTGAGCGCCACGTCCTGACACCCACCGTCAAGTCCTTCATTTCCCAAGCCAGCTTTTGGCAGCCCTGGGCATTCGGAACCCCTGTGAAGAACTGGGGTCCCTCTGATCACAATGCGCAGGCCACAGGAACCAGACCGAACCAGGCCTGGCCCCACACCAGCCCTCCCACCCAAGCACCACACCTAACACACGTCAAGATTGTCAAGTGTTGTCTAGCGTGGGAGAGGAAACAGGTTTTCTCCGATTGGTGATTGCATAAGGCTTGTGTCAAGAAGCTTGCTGAGGTCCGGTCCCAGCTGTGATCACTGGAGTCTACAGAGCACAAGTCTGCAAAGAAGGGGGATGGGCATTCC